GAGAGAGAGAGAGAGAGAGAGAGGGAGAGAGAACGCGAGTTCCTGCCAATGGTAGGAACCGGGGGAGATGGAGGAGGCACACACACACACACATACAAACGAAGAGGTGCAAACAACAGCGGCAAAGAACATCGAGAACAACTGGCGACAGTCCCCACACATTTCAAGCACAAGCAGCAGCACTACTACTATTACAGGGACCGCAGCCCACGCTCTGCGCTACGCGGACTCCATGACTAGCACATGACGCAGCAGGAAGTCCAGCAGCAACTGCGGGTAGTAGCGACGGAACACAGACAATGGCATCGTCAGCAGCGTCTGCTCCTGCCCCTCATCATTCCCCATGAGAAAATACCGCACGACGAGCTGCTCGCGCTTGCCACGCAGCAGCGTTTGCGTCGTGTGGGCGAGCGCGCTGTTGAATTTGCACTGCCCACGGAGGTGCTCCGCCTCGGCGCGGCCAATCAGGGGCTCGCAACTCGTAACGGTGTCGTACATTTGTCCACTGCGAACGAGCGCGGCGGGCGCGATGCCGTAAATCTCTATGCTGGACGCGTCACGGCACTTATCGGTGCAGGTGCCCAACTCGAACTGCAGCGGTGCCGGCGTGCGACAGGCGGAGACGGCGCAGGTGTGCATGAAACTCACGGCGTGTTGCTCCTGCCAGCACCTCTCCAGCTGCAGCGCTGGATCGCAGGCGGGGTCACGCTCGCCTTGGCCCTGCAGCCGCTTCTTTTTTGTCGGGTTCAGCCCCTGCGAGGTGGCGTCCGCCAAGACACGCTCGCCGAGGGCCACAAGCGACGCCCCGCCCCTCGCCTCGTCCCCTGCGCCGCTGCGCACGATGATGCCGTGCAGCGGCGGGGCCTCCTCCGGCGCGGGGGTTGCGTCGCGCGCGCGCTTCGACGCCTCCGTCCCGTTGGCCCACGAGGCAATGCGCCGCAGCGCCGCGGTCGCCTCGCGCGCGTCCACCTCGCCGACGGGGCCGGCGCAGTACGCGAGGAGGTTGCCGCGGGGCTCCCACGTGTCGCACACGCTGTCGTACCCCGACCACCGCACGCTGTACTCCACCGCGCCCTCGTCCGGGTTGACGCGGCGGCCCGTGACGCTGCTGACGTTGTAGTGCCGCATGCTTCTGCACGCACACGCGCAGACACGCACACACACACACACGCACCGCCTTCTTTTCGCTTCTTTTCTGCTCCCCTCCCTCGGCTGCAGCGAGGGCGACTCCCATGAAAGGCACGCGGGAACGGAGACGGAAGGTAAAAGGGCGAGAGAGAAAGAAAAAAAAAAAAGGAAAATATCCGTAAACACAACGGGCGAAAAAGCGCCCCAGCGCGAAGGAATCCACGATGCCTTTACGCACCCCCGTTTCTCCGCGCAATTCCGCTAAATCGTCCCACGCGGCATTTCTCTCGGGCGCAGGGAGGCGGAGGCTGCGGCGTCTAAATGAGCTCCACCGTGGCGCCGAGCTTCTCGAATAGCCCCTTCAGCTTCTCCGCGTCCTCCTTCCGCATGTTTGTCTGCACCAGTCCGGGGCACTTCTCAATGGCGCTCTTGGCGTCCGAGATGGAGAGGCTCGTGACGGAGCGGAGCTCCTTGATGAGCTTCACCTTAATGTCCGGCGTGAACTTCGCCAGCTTCACGTCGTACGTGGTCTTCTCCACCTTTTTCTTCTCCGCCTTCGGGGGCTCCTCCGTCGCTGCCGCCCCCGGCGCCGCCGCCGCGGCCGCCGCCACGGCGTGCGGTGGCATCATCACTCCGCCGCCGCCTCCGCCGAGGCCGCGCAGGAGGGCCTTCTCGTAGAACTCGTCGCTGTGGCCGAGTTTCTTGAAGATCAGCCGCTGCAGGTCGGAGAGCTCCTTCAGCGTCAGCTGCGCGTACGCCCCGGCCAACTCCTCCAGCTTGGGGCCGCTGCTGCCGCTGCTGGGCCTGGTGGCGCTGCCGCGGGACGCGGACACGCGACCGAGGGCGGGGAAAAGGAAGGCGATGCGCCGCATACCGTTTCTTTTTTCAATTTTATTTTTCCCACTACATAAAGGAAGTAATGGGAAACAAACAAAAAAAGACAAACCGCAACGAGGCCAACGCCCCACACAAACACACAGAGATGCAAGAAACGGGGCAACACAAACAGACGACGGCAATGAGGAGACTCTCGGGCACAACTCGCAGTCACCGGGCGTCTTTTTTTTAAAAAATATATTCACCTCTGTTTTCTTTTTGTTTTGCTGCTTCTTCTTCGTTCTGCTGCTGCTGCCGCTGCAATCAACGGAAGAAGAAGAGGCAGAGGGGGCCGCAACCAGCACGCAGTGCAGATGTGTCTGCCAATGAAAAGAAGTAAGAAAAAAACACAGCAACCGCGAAGAAGCAGCACAAACGCACACACACACACACACTCCCGCAAACACACTATATATATATATATATAGGAATAGCCAAATTGCGGCACTAGAAGTCTCGCTGTCGCTTGCTGGCGGCACCCCACTCCAGCTCCTCGCTCTTCGTCACGTAAATCGGCGGGGCGATTTCCTGCTCCTTCAGCTCGTAGTACATGTGCGGGCTCCAGCTCAGCAGGTGGGGGTAGAAGACGTAGTTGCGCCCACTCCGCTCACGCTGCAGCCGTCTGGAGTAGCAGCGCTCGATGCTGTCCTCCGACACTACAATCTGTGTCCCGTTTAGCAGCCGCAGGTACTGCAGCGTCCGCAGAACGTCCAAATGAGAGATGTGCGTGGCCTGCACGAGGTAGTCAAGCGTGGCGCAGTGGTTCTCCTCCATGGCGCGGGCGAGGGCGGAGACCACGACGTCCCCCCAGTACCCTAAATAGAGCTTTTCGCCCAGGTCACTGAGCGGCTTCTCGGGGGAGCCGATCTTGCCCTCCCGCCGCGACAGTTCGTAGCTCAGCTCAATCAGAAACCGCCCAATGCCGCGACTCTGGAACTGCGGCAGCACGAGAACGCAGGAGAGGTTGTACATCTCGGGCGACTGCTTTTCTTTGCTAAAGTACCCCAGCACCTCCAGCCCGTGCGGCTGCACGGCGCACAGCACGTAGAAGAGAAACGGCGTCATGTCGTGATCGAGCGCCTTGTGCTCCAGAAACAACTTGGAGAGGAGGGCTAAGTGCTCGCAGAAGACGGGTTCCACCACCGCGTCCATCTCGAGTACGACAAGCTGGCGCACGGGGTCGCGGTAAATCTCATTCCCCGGCGGGTGTCGCTGGCAGACAAGCCGCAGGTGCCGCACCACGTCCTCGTGGGCCGTGAAGGGGTGGAGGCAGAAGGGGCAGATGTGCAGCACAAACGAGGTGGGGACAACGGCGGGGCGAAATGGACTCTTGTCATTTTCCTGGCGCAGCCGCAGCTCCAGGTTCCCCGCGAAGAGTTCCGCGCTCTGCCTCAGTCCCTCCTGCACTTGGGGTCGGGCGAGGTGGTAGGGGGAGAAGTACCACGCATCTACCTCGTGGGGCCCCATGCATACTTTGTGAATATTCTTTGGACGGGAGAAAAACGAACTGTCCTTCCGCGCCCGCGTCGTCGACACCTTGACGCAGTTCTGCAGGTTGTTGCGCTTCGCAACGGAGCTCGGCGTGGCGGGGCTCCGCGGGACCTCCTCCTCCTTCTCCGCGACAAGTCGACTCTGCCCTCGCGTCGTGACACCGCCGCCGCTTGGCTTGTTCGCCTGCTGCTTGCTCGCCTGGCGCCCCTGCCGCCGCTCCTTCAGCTCGCTAGCGGGCAGCCAGCAGTCCATGCGGCTGTCCTGCTCGACGTAGTGCACGTAGTGCAGGTACTGGCCCGTCTCGGCGTCCATGGCCACCTCCTGCACAATCGCAGCGTGGAAGGTCCCGTGCAGCGTCGCATACACCTTCTGCCGCGCCTCGAACACTGACATTCCCCCCCTCCCCCCTGCTTGTGTTTGTGTTTGTGCGCAAGCGGCGGGAGGCCCCAGGCGCAGAGTCCGTCCCATGCCCGCGTACACAAAGTGAGGGAGAGAGGGGAATACAAAGAGAAAGAGAGGGGGAAAAAAAGGAACGAAATAGGCTGCAGAGCGGGAACAGGTGAGCGGCACAGATCCCTTTTTCTTATTGTTTATTGCGCTTCTTGCCGCGTGCTCCCACGCGTTGCGTTGGCGCGCCCGCACCACACCGCCTCCTCCTCCTCCTCTCCCTCGTCCACAGGCATCGCAAAGTTTTCGACGTACAGGGAAATAAACATCGAAGAAACCTCTCAAACAAAACACGACAAGAAAAAAAAAACGAAGAAAAACATCAACTAGCGAAGGTGTGTGGGGGATGCGGGCGGCGGCGGGGGAAACACACACACAGAGCCACGGAGCCGTGCGCCATGCGGGTGCGGCCCTCGGCTGGGCAGAGAGACACCCGCGGCGAGAGAGGCATGGGAGGGAAAAAGCAAAAAAAAAAACAAATAAACATCGGCCCTAAGACGCCATTCCGCCCGCCGCGGTGGCGCCGCCGCCGCCGCCGCCGCCGCCCCGCACCACCCCCCCACACCGCGCGGCGCGCACGTACATCACTACTGCACGGGGAATGTGAGCCGGCGGGATAAAAAAAAAAAACAGGCCCTCCTGGAACGCGGAGGGAAAGAAGGGAGGGATCGGCTGCGTTGGGGCGGAGGCACGGCACGAAGATGGGCGCGGGGGATAACCGGCGCAGAAAGACAAGAAATAAAAATCGAAAGAGCAGGAACGACGACGCCCCCGCGCAACACTCCCCCCCCCCCCACTTCCCCCACAGACACACACAGAGAGAAACAAGCAAAAACAAATCAACAACAATAGTAGAAGGGCGGCAACGCGTGAAGCCACATGGACGAAGAGGGGAAAGGAAGAAAAGCAATCATTTCCATTAAACAACTACAAGCACCCGGTACTAATATAAATACAATCCGTAATTCAACACTAGATAACGGGGAAGTGGCAGTCGCCGCCAGCGCTCCTCGCTAAATAAACATTTTTTTTTAAATTATTTTATTTTTTATTTTATTTTTTTTTGTCTCCTTTTCATCACTGCCTCTGTCTATGTGTCTGTGCTCCTTCCCGCTTCTTTTCCTTTTTCATTTTTTCCTCCCCTCTTTAAGGTTATATATCAAGTACGTCCAAATAGAAGGGGAGCACCGACGGGCAGGCACGCATACATACATACATAAATACATACATACATACATACATCACTGCACAGTGAGCGTCAGCCAATCATGACAGATGAATCGCCTGCACACCGGGCTCCGTTCCATTTCCCCTTTACTCTCCACGCATTCTCTTGGATCTTTTTTTTTTTGGTGGGTGCGTGAAGACGGGGGACTGAGTGGCTCGGATTGCCTGGCTTTCTCCGCGCCATGCGGGCCCTCGCACTTCGCTCTTGGCTTCTGATGATCTTCGCCCCACGGCAGAGCGCATTCCATACGTAATGGACGCCCTTGAGCCTGTACCTCCGCCTTTCCCGGCCCCGATTTGTTTTTTTTTTATCATTCTTCCCCGTTTCTTTTTTTTATTTTCTTTTTGTTCTTGTTGCCATTTTCGTTCTTTGCCTCCTCCCCCTTCCTTCTCTGCTGCGGCCGCCGGTGGAGGTGCCGTGGCCCGGCTGTGCACCGCCAGAGCCGAGGAGCCTGCCGGGAGGTGTGTGGTTGGCGCGGCGCCTATAGGGGATAGTCCACTATCCGCCGCATGACATCCAGAAAGATGTCAAGGCTCACCTTCGTGACGACGTTGCAGTTGCGTATGCGGCCCTTCTTCGCCATGGATTGGTCTGTGCCGTACCAGTCGATGCACGTCGCCCCACGGGTTTCCCGCCCCCGCATCTCAATCGTGGCGTACGTGAGGAAGCTGTCCAGCAGGCTCTCTGGGTAGAGGGCAACGACCATCGCCACCGCGTCTGGTATGACGCAGGTGACGTCCTGCGTTGCCTCGGCGTCGCCCGTGTCGGCCCGCGTCCCGTCCTCGTCGGGCCGCGTGAAGACCTCCAGGCGCTGAAACATCTTCTCAATAAACCACTGGGACCTGTTTTGGCACACCGACCGGAACCCCTCCGACGTCTCGCGCCGGTTCACCCAGTCATCGTAGAAGCGCCACGGCATGGCACAGTTCACCGTCACCTCCCAGTTGACCAGCTGTATGGGCTGCCGGATGCCCCTGTGGTGAAACACGACAAACGCCGCCTCGGGGTCGCAGTGAAAGTTGAACTCCCCCATCAAATTCGAGTTGCCCTTCCCCTCACTCGTGCCGCCCATCACTATCACCCCGGGTTCCGTGTCGGAGCCGAGCACCGAGAAGGCACCCGGGTCTAGGCGGATGGCAAGAGCTATGTTCGTCAAGGGCCCAAGGCACACCAGCTGGTACACCACACCCTCCTCGGGCTTGGCCTCCCTAAGAACATCCGCAAGGGCAATAGCGGCGTGCTTCTTCGGCTGCAGCGACACCCGCGCGGAGGGGGGAAACCCGGCGTCGCCAAAGCCGTCCCGACCAAACCCCCCCCACTGCACCGTCTCCCGCTCAACCACAAGTGGGCCGTCGGCGCCGCGGTAGAAGGGGACGTCGCGCTCGTAGAGGTCAAGCAGCTTCCCAAGGTTCTCCATCCCCTGATCCACATCCACGTTCCCCCAGACGGCCGTGATGGCCAGAACATCTACGTCCGGATGCGTCATGGCGGTCATGATTCCAATCGCGTCATCGCCCCCACAGTCTGTGTCGATGATGACCTTCCGTCGCACCATCGCTCTTGGAAGAAGATGTTAGCACTAGCCTCAATGACCTCTCCTTTTTTCTTCTTTCTTCTTTGTGTCTTCTTCCTTGCCTCGCCTTTCTTACCTTTGGGGGTTGCCTCCTAGTCACCTATACCACCCCCGCCCTCGACGCTCTCTTCCCTCTCTGAGCTTGTTTTACCTTCTCCGCGTATGTGTATGCCTACTGGCTTGCCCGTCACCTGCCACAGGGAGCACTCGTTACTCTGCCAGCAGCGAAAATGACGCACGCACACCGTGCAAGAGGCAAAGGCAACATCCATGCTGTGGCATCCTCCTCCTCCTCGGAGAGAAGAAAACAACGAGGACGCACACGCACACACACGCACACGCACACGCACACGCACACGCACACGCACACGCACA